AATGATTTTGAAATTTCTTCCTCAATTTTTTTATTTATAACAAAAGCAATTGAATCGATTACTTCATTTTGTATGGTTTTAGATGTCCCAGAAAAACTGATCTAGAGTCATTATCATATTCTAAAAATGTTTTTAAATTAGTGTCAAATTTACTAACAAGAACAACTAGCTCTTTGAAATTCCCGCAATTTAAAGATTCATTAGATTCATCATGCCCCCTAAACGGTAACTCTTTCATACAGAGGTGTGACGTAATATCTGTAAGGCTTTTTAAAATTTGCCGATTTTCTTTAACCCTAGCATTGAAATTTTCAATATCTATTTTAAGCGAATTGTCTAGTGCTGTAGCGATATTTTGCTTTTGTTTTCTCATAAGAGTAAGCTTGCAATTCGATGTAATATGTTGAGAACTTTTATTGTGTAACAATAGACTCCGAGACAAATTTTTTAAATCAGTATAACCATTTTTTAACCAAACTTTGTCGCTAGTATTAGCTGTGGCAAATAAAATGCATGGCCAACAAAACAATTTATTTAATGTTATACTACCCGTAAGCCAGTCAAACTTTTCGTACCATGCATTTTGAAATCCCCGATTTCACTACTTTAACTATATATAATTTATCTTCATATGAATGACTTGAAAAATTCTGCTGTTTGACTAAAAAATTTACGAGATTACAAGTATTACGAATATTTACATTTACCTGGGAAAGTTGTGACGAAGTGCTCGGTGCTAAATCCATTTTTCACTAAAACCGAAAATCCTGCAGACAAAAACAAACCCACCAAAATTATTAAAAAAACTTAATTAGAATTGCACTTATTATATAACATGTAATCTTACTGTTTTTTTAATGAAAAACAACACGAGATACGTCAAACGTGATCCTGCCGCACCAACAGGTCAACAGGAAGTAATTTACCTACTACTTACTACAACAATTTTGCAGAAATGTTCCAAAATGTACCAAAGTTGCTAATCTGGTAAATGCATAGAAAAAAAATATTGTCTGTTAAATCGGAAAACAATAGAACAATATGTATTATAGTACCATCTACTAAAGGAAAATACTCCAATGTTGTTACAATTTTCAAATAAAAATCTATGTTTTATTTAAAATGTACTTTTATACCCCGAGGGAAAAAATGTAGCGAATTGGGTACCTTTGTACCAAAACGGCAACGCTGCTAATTAAAAGAACTACACCAAACGAGAGAGGCTTGCCTCTCCTGTTCGGTGAAATAGTGGGCAAAAAATAAATAAATCATGTTGAATTTCGCTACATAATGTGATGTCTAATATGCTAGACAGAGCAATGCCGTGAGGCTTGCCTCGGCTATAATTTTTAAAGAGAGAATGAGATGCACAGATGATAGGCGCCGTTGTTTATTTAATATTTTGTGGTTTAAGCTTGTCCCTTGTCCGGCCCGTAGATTATGAAGAAATATACAAAGATAAGACATCAGGGGTGTACCTATTTTAATTTTTTATCATAATGAAAATAAAGTTATTTAGAAAATTCCAAAAAGTTAAATTGTAGTTAAAGAACGTAAATAGTCGATTAATACTGGTGAGTCACTGCCTCACCTGCCTCATAGGACCAGCCGCCCCTGGGTTATACGATTATTTGTTTGTTGCGTATTAGTCTTGGTACCGTTAAAAATTTTAGAAAATAAAATGTTTAGTTTAAATAGAGTTTCATTTTTATTTTATAAGTCATAGGAATATTACGCATCTTAAAAACGAAAAATACTTATCTCCAGCTTTGATGTATTATAAAAGTTTTTTCAAGAAACCTTTTTCACTCTTTCAATAACACTCATTTTTTAATAAATCAATAAAAATATATTAACAATGCTTAAAAATCAGACGATCAAAATTGTTTTTTCTTTCTGCGGTTAAAGTTCATGATTTGAAGTATTTCATTTTTTGAAGTCAAATAAAACCAAGCTCATAATGGCATATAAATGCTCAGATGGCTCTAAAACGGAATGAAGAAGTTGTAGCTGAAGTATACGAACGGAAACCAAGGCTAAGCCTTAGTGAAAGTCTAAGTTATTACTCTACTATCTTCCAAGTGGAAATGTATTCTATAGTTCCTGCAGGAACTAATAAAGAAGGAGTGCAGGGACAGATTTATAAAAATTATATCGGATACCAAGGCGTTATTAAAGGCACTGGAATGAAATCGATTTGAGTCCAAGTTAATTTAGAACTGTCTTCAAAACATCATAAGGATCGGAAAAAGTAACAAAGTAAGTTTACTCTGGGTGCCTGCAGATACTGGTATTAAAGGGACCGTTGAAATGAAATATGATCACATTTCATTTTAACGAAACCGAAGTAAAGAGTATGAAATTGAAAAACCAAGACGAAGGATAGGATGGAATAGATGCTGGTCATAGAACAGGCCAAGACCCACTATAACAACAATTTTTTTATTATCCAATGATATTAATAAAAATCTTCTTAGTAGATACAAATATATATCACCACAATTCTCAGCGTATTCTACCGATTATGGTGCAGCCTCTCTTAGATAGTCGTTCTTCTTCATTTCTGCCCACGATTGTCTGGTATTCGCTTCTCTGTTGTACCTGATATATGATATATTCTTTATGTCATAGCCCCATTTTAAGTTTCGTCATCGTCTCTTGATGCCTCTTGGATACTATAGTATAATTCTAGTGGACCATATATTGTCAGTTCTTCTCGTTATATACACGCAGTATACACTGATCGAATGCTCGTTTCTTCAGGTGGAGAGGCATTCTGGATTTGAATATTACAGCATTTTTACCAAAAGATTCCATTCTTCCCAACCAGTTCCATTCTTCTGTCGATATCTGGGTGTAAGGAGCCATATTTATATATTCTCTCAGGTATAAATACTCGTGTACTGTCTCAAGTGAAGTGTTTTATTATTACATCTTGGACATCTACTAGCTCATTGTACATGGTTTTTCTTTTTGCAAAGTTCATTTTTAGACCAACTTCATTGCTATCTGCTAGGTCGCTTATAAGCTCTTGTAGTTGACTGAGGTATTCTCCATGAATATCTTTGTTCTGCCAGTTCATTTTGCTGAATATTTTTTCTAGGGTTGCGGTGAAGAGCATAGGGAACATTGTGTCTTCTTGTCGGATGCCTCTGGTAGTGGGTAATTCTGGAGTGATTTAATCAATTTTTTACTTTAGCTTTTGCTGTTCTATATATTTATTTGCTAGAGTCTCTATGTACGGTTTATCAATACCTTGGTTGGTAGAAACATCTGTTACTGCCTTGGAATCTAAAGCCTTCTCGAAATCTATGAGAAGGCTTGCGGTATTTTATATATATTGGTTCTACTCATTAGCTCTCAAAGTGTATGGATATTGATCCAGGGTACTGAATCCACTTCCAATGCCACCTTGTTTTCTTGGCTGTGCAGCTCTAATGCGTTTGTTAATCTTTTGCTGATAATCTTTGTGAATATCTTTATATGATTTTTAGTGGACTTATGGGTCTGTAGTTTTTTATATCCTCATCGCTACCTTTCTTGGGAATGAGAATTATGTTTGCTGTATTCTAGTGATTTGGTGTGCATCTTAAACTTAGGCAGTTAGTAAATATACCTTATAAGATTTTCCAAGTTTTTAGTTTTTTTAAGTCCAAGTAAGTTTTTTTTGCCAGCGTATTTAAGCAGTTCCATTGTTATGCCATCTGTTCCAGCTGCATTACTGCTTTTTATTTTTGTAATTATCCATCCTACTTCTTGCGGAAGGACTTCTTATACATCTTCTTGGTTACTAATTGCTTCTTTAAGCGTCTTAATATAGTTCATTGGGGCATTGTATAGTTCGCTGTAAAATTTAGTCACGAGCTGTATTATTTAATTTCAGCAACGATTTGCTTCTTGCCAAAGATTTATGCCCTTCTATTTTCGTATAGCTTTTCCTGTTTTCGGTTACATTTTCTACCAGCCTTTCATTGTATTTTCTTATATTTTCCTATTTGGATTTGATTGATTACACTGACCTATTTTATTGTAACAATCTTGTTGGTTGGAATGAAGTCAAGAATTTGTTTGCAATATACATGTTTTGGTATTGTGCAAACTGAACCTGCCTTTCTCGCTTTTCATTTCTCTCACTGACTTCATACTTTCCCATGACTTGTTCCCTGCAATTTCTCTTTCTTACTTTGGCTATAAAGTCATCAATTAGATGATTAAAATGACATTATTGTTATTTAGTTTAGTTAAACGTTAAGCTAGCTACTCTATCCGAAATACTACTAGTTGTTTCGACTACTCTTCGTTTCCATTTCTTGTTGATTAATAATCCAATGCTGCTTTTTTGCCCTTTGATGTCCCTAGATACTAGTAAAATGTGTTTTCTGACGCTAATTACAATATGTCTTCATCTTTCAGTTTTATTTCGCTGATTCCTATGACGTCTCATTTTATATTTTAAGATTCTTTTTCCAGTTCTACAAGTCTGAATTGATTTGATAGCGACCGGCAGCTATATTTCGCTATGTAAAGCGTTGTTGTTTTATTTGGGTAGCGGTTTACACACCGCAATTCTTTGCACCTTCTGCCTTTATGGCTTGGATCCCAAAAGCTATCCAGTTAAGAGCCATTTGGCCCTACGGAGAATAAGGGCCATGATTTGAGTGTATGTTTTATCTTTCATGTTAGGGATTGTGAGGCGTATCTTACCAGGCTGCCTCGGTGCGGGTTGCTAAGGGTTAGCTGGTGTGTTCCGATGTTAAGTCGCCGAAAGCCCGCCTGTTACTCTCTTTCTGTTATATAATGTACTCCGATAATACGCCATATATTGCCCAGGGATTACGCGGCTTGTGCCTTCGTGGAAGTAGGAGGTAGGATTTGTTCGAACATCTTACAAAATTCCTTTTAATAGTTTTTTGATATATTAATAGTACTTACTAAAAAGTAAAATAGTTCGTAGGAATTGCTAAAGTAGATTGTTTATTAATGTAAAATTTGCTTTTTAGGACATGGTGCTGACGTGAAATGCGTTCATTGGCATCCTCAGAAAAGTCTTGTTATATCTGGAAGCAAAGACAATCAGCAGCCATTAAAATTATGGGATCCAAAAAGCGGACAAGCGTTGGCCACTTTGTAAGTATTAATTCATCTGAAGTAATTGTTAAAAAAATTATTTTTGTTTTTAATTCTGTAAGCCTTCTCAGGTATCATATTAAAATTCACCTTTCTTTTATCAATGATTTTCTTTCATAGCTTAATTTCTTTATTACTTTTTGCATTTTTCTCAATTTGAGCTAAAAAATTACTTGTGTTTAGTACTCTGTTTTTTGCACATTTTACCGAGCTCAAGCTTTTCAATTTAACATACCAGGTTTCAATATGTTTATGTGCCAATATCAACCCAGCTTAATTTAAGGAGAAGAAAAATTACTAGACTCAGTTAATATTACTTGATTCGTTAGACAAGTAGGAAAGGAATGAGATAAAATAGATCTCAAAGGTTGTACTAAGGGTACTAAATTTATCATCCAAATTAGTACCTAACCAACATATTAACTTTAACGGAAAATAGAAGTGGTGGATACATATAAATATCTTGGACTTGAAATTAGGGTTTGCAGAGATAACCAAATAGACGTCTTGGATGAGCATCTTTATGGAAAATTACTAGAAACATTTAAAAGCGATCTACCCGTATGTCTGAAAAGAAAAGTATATTTTCATTTCATTTTACCAGTACTAAAAAAAGAAGCAAAAACGCCCACCCCAACAAAAGCTTGTCATTCAACTGAGATTGACAGATAAAAATGGAATGGTCCATGCTGGAAATACCCTACGAGACACAATTAAAAAACGAGGATATAAGAAAAAGAACTAAGGTGACTGACGTAATTGAACGAATAACCAGACTAAAATTCAGATGAGCAGGAAACATGGCAAGGATGATAGATTGTCGATGGACAAAAAGGCTGTTGTAATGGAGACCACGTGAGGACAAACGAAGTGTCTGGCGACCACCAGCGCGATGGACAGACGACGACGATTAAAAAAAAATAAATATAAACTAGATGAGAGTTGCGCAGTATAGATGAGGATGGAAACAAGAGAAGTATGCCTCTATACAGTTTTTATTCAAATTGTTGTTTTATATTTAGCATAACCAGGTAGATAACTTACAATCAGGTAGATAACTTTTTTTTTGAACCTATTCTCTATCCTTCCATTGTTGGATATAGGTCTCCCCCAGTTCTCTCCATATTTCCCTATCTTGTGCTGTTCTCTGCCATGTGGAACCTCCTTGTTTCCTGATGTCATCTTTCCACCTCATCTGTGGTCTGCCTCTTGCATTGTATGGACGCCACTTTCCGATGGCATTGTTCCATCGTCCGTCTTGGAGACGTTCATTGTGTGTAGCCCATTTCCATTTCAGTTTTGCTGCTTGTTCTATCGCGTCTACTGTCTTTGTTCTGGTTCTGATCCACTGGTTACGTTTTCTATCTCTAAGTGATACACCTAACATTTGTCTCTCCATCGCTCTTTGTGCCTTCCTTATCCTATCCAAATTGGCCTGTGTAAATGTCCATGTCTGTGCTCCGTAGGTGAGCACCGGTATTATGCAGGAGTTATATACCTTGCTTCGTAAGTATAGAGGGATTGTTTGATTTTTTAAAACGTAAGAAAGTTTGCCGAACGCTGCCCATCCCATTCTTACTCGTCTCGATATTTCGGCTGTTTGATTTTCTCTGTTAGCTCTGATTGCTTATCCTAGATAGATATACTCATTTACCTGTTCTATTTTTATTGCCTCTTGGTCTTCCGTGTTTGTCATTACTTTTGTTTTGTTGAAGTTAATTTTTAGGCCTTTTTGCAGTGATTTTTCATGAAGTTCATTCAGCATTAATTCCAGTTCTTGTCGTTCCGAGGAGATCAGGAGTATATCATCCGCATATCTAAGGTGATTTAGGTATTTTCCGTTAATACATATTCCTCTGTTTTCCCAATCTGTTGATTTAATTATGTCTTTGAGGGTCAAGGTAAACAGTTTAGGTGAAATTATATCGCCTTGTCGGACTCCTCGTTTAACTTTTATATTATCCGTTATTAATTTGTCGTCCAGAATTACGGTCATGGTTGCGTTTTGGTAAATATCATGTATCAATTGTCGGTATCTTGAATCTATTCTACTATTGACCAGAGCTTCTTCAACCGCCCAGTGTTCAATGCTGTCGAAAGCCTTTTCATAATCTACGAATGCTAAGTACAACCTTCCGCTGTACTTAGCATTCGTAGATAACTTACTTGCTAATAAATAATGATTCCAGGCTTAAAATCTATTTTGAAATAATGCTTTCCTCTTTGGATTACAGGGCTTTCCAGAACTTGCTCAATGTCGCTTAGTTTTACATCAGCCTTGTCTTGAACCTCCGGGTACACAAAATGGAATTGTTTCTTTCTTAGGAATTCCACCTCAAATGTATTTTTCTTTGTTTTTCAGGCATGCCCATAAATCAACTGTAATGGATCTGAAATGGAACGAGAACGGCAACTGGTTAATAACCGCATCCAGAGATCATCTACTTAAATTGTTCGACTTACGAAATTTGAGCCAAGAAGTGCAAACGTTCAGAGGACATAAGAAAGAAGCATCGAGTGTTGCTTGGCATCCGATCCACGAGGGTCTATTTTGTAGTGGTGGTTCTGATGGTGCTATTATGTTTTGGCATGTGGGGTGAGTAACTTTTTTTAATCTAAGGTAAAGGGGACAAACATTAACACATCTTCATAATTTTTGTTTTACACAGTCAATGACTTCTTTAAAAATGATAGCCACATGAGCGCTGAGGACTGCTACATCTGCGACACTAATTGCTGTTAGTATTGACTAAAAATCTTCACACATTTTTGTACAAAAAATAAGTTTGCAGGGTGTTACAGTTATCAATGTTACACCGTATTCGGTACAACATTGACACCCACTTTAAAATTCATTTCTAGAGCAATGTCCTCGCGCAGGGTAAAATTGACGTTGAAAGTGACTGTAGTTTATTCAAAAAAAATTGCCAACCCCTAAGAATATTTTAATGCACGAAAACAGTTAGAATATAAACGTTTTCAAAAAAAAAAAACAGAAGATAATCTTTTATTTGTTGACTTAAATAATTATTATTGCACTGAGAAAGCTTAAATTAAAACTACATTGTATTCAGAAACAAATACACAAACGAAACTTCTTATAAGTTGCCTTAGCTATTGCTCAAGATCGTGCATCAGGGCGGCTGGGCTTCTTTGCGAAGGGCATCTGAAATCACAAAAGGAGAATAAGATTAGCAATGTTATTCTTAAACAAACTGGCAAAACTGAAAACTGAAACAGGTAGATAACTTACTTGCTAATAAATAATGATTCCAGACTTAAAATCTATTTTGAAATAATGCTTTCCTCTTTGGATTACAGGGCTCTCCAGAACTTGCTCAATGTCGCTTAGTTTTACATCAGCCTTGTCTTGAACCTCGGGGTACACAAAATACAATTGTTTCTTTCTTAGAAATTCCACCTCAATTGTATTTTTCTGTACATTTAAAACTTTACCAACGTAACAGATAATGTCCTTTTTGTTATAATATTTGACAAGAATTCAAGCTCCGGCCAAATTGAATGGCTGATCCATATTTGTCCTGGGAACTGTACTTCCAGTATTATTGTCTAAAACAGCTTCTATTTCTGTAGAAGGATCACATTCGAGTAAATCTGCTTCTGCTTCCAAATCTGGCCCCCTTTCCAAATCTGCTTCTTCTTCTTCCTCACCAACCACAACAACATCATCGCTTTCTAAACGCACGCTAATAGCACTCTCTGACGAGCTAGAAACATCTCTCTTCGTTCTTTTTGTTTGTGTTCTTGGTTTTCTTTGTACTCGCTTTCTTTTTTCTGCTTTGTTTTGTTTTTCATGTTTCTTTTTTGCTAGTCTTTATCTCACTTCTAAATCTGTCAAGCTTTCAGCAAACTTTCGTGTTACTCGACTGCGTTTATTAAAAGTTATTTTCTGGTCATTGTCCTTTTTCAATACCGACATAATGGCTAGTTCAAGTCCTTGTTTTACACTCTCACATGACGGTGTGCTAGTCAGGTCGGAAGATGTTGACGGAGTATCGTGATTATCATCAACTGGAAGGTTTTCTAACGCTACTGGGCGAGAATTAGCGCCTGCTTCAACCACCTCTGCCGTAACAATTTTCTTCATCATATTGTCTTTGCAAAGCGGATAAATCTCAGACCCACTAAACCCACCGATCGTATTAGCTCTCGACAGACATCCAGAATTTTCTAGCTTTTTCATAAGCGAAGGAAAAACCAATTTGTCAACATTCTTGTAACCAGTCTCTTAATAGCATTCTCGTAGAACTCCCCTCCAGGACTGTTTAACTGCTTTGTACACACCAACATCCAAAGGCTGCACAAGGTGTGACGTGTGAGCTAGCAAGCAGAATATTTCTACGTTATTCTCAACAGCTGCTTCTACAGGTTCTAAAGATATGTGCGAGTTATGACCATCGAGAATTAGTAATTTCGTTCCTTCGTATTTTAAAGTTTCCGGTACAAAACAACTTATGAACCAATCAAAAAATTGAGCCGATTCCATCCAGCCAGATGGGGAACAGCTGTAACGAGCATTGGCGAGACCATTAACACACCAAGTATGGTACAGGTGCAACCCCTCCTACAAAGTACCTTTTGGACACCAGCATCGGTTTGAAATCCGGTCTCATCGCAGTTAAATATATTTTGTGGTTTGGTCTGTAAGCCACATAGGTTAACAACCAACTCTAGTTTTTGATAAAAGTCCTCCATCACTTCCTGTGATCCTGCCATTGCCCTGTTTTTCGGCAGGTTTTGCGCTACCCTTCTACTGATTTCATGAGACCATCTTCTTTCAAACATCAGGCACCAGTCTGCACCTGGCATACCATTGGCAAATGGATTGGGCCGATCCATTCGCCTAACGTAATCTTGTACGCAACGTTGTAGTTGAAATTGGTCGAAACCATAACCCCACTCTCCCAGTTTTACCAATGAATGAATCAAAAGCTCTTCCTCTTGATGTGTAAGAACTGTTGGTCTACCAACATTCTTGCATTGTATCCCCTTCACATGATTTAATAACGTTGTTCTATTAATACCATGACGTTCTGCCAAACTTTTACAACTTTCGCCATTTTTTACTTCTTCTAAGATCATTCTGTAGGTGACACTTTTGGTCCAGGGGTAAGATTGACACTGTCATTCTTAAACGAGCTGGCAACATTGACACTGTCAATATTCACATCAAGGCTAACTTTGACACTATCAATTTTAACCTATAAACGGAAAGTACAGAAAAAAGCTGTTTACAACAACAGTGTGTTCTAATATTAAAAACTATAAGTGGTAATTGATTAAATATCATCCACTTACCTTGGTTAGCTAAATTACGTTTTTGAAAGGGCCGTTTGTTGAAAGTTCCTTTAGCTCAAAATTCACTTACCACCCTCCGTTGACTTATGGGCAGACATTTTGAAAAGCCAAGAGTGTTGCTGAAGTCTCGGCACTTCGCTGCTAGATGGCGCTAGAGTAGGAGTATTTATAGATACCTTTACATTGGCGTTATTTTTGTTAGCAGACGAACAGAAAACTAAATTCAAACAAATGTCAATGTTGTACCAGTGTCAATGTTGGTCCGCGTTACCTTACTTGTTCAAAATTTTTTTTTCAAAAAGTTGTATTTTAAAATTATCCAGAAACTCCAGATTTTTGAAAAACGCCTATTTATCAGTTTTCTGATCCGATGTTCATTTAGTGAAATACTCGACCGTGTTATAATGCAAAGATCTACAAAAATACTGATACAAAATATTTTTCAGAGCTGATAAAGAAGTGGGAGCTATAGAACAGGCACATGACAGTATCGTCTGGACCTTAGCGTGGCATCCTTTAGGTCATATTTTATGTTCGGGCTCCAACGATCATACCAGTAAATTTTGGACAAGAAATCGACCGGGTGATCAAATGAGAGATAAGTATAACTTGAATACACTACCAGCTGGAATTGCAGGCTTAGAAGACATTGATATGGGAGGTAAGGATTCATTAACATCAAGTGTATAACAATTAAAACAAGATCTTAAACGAGTTAATAAATGAGTTACAAAAGAGGGTACTTGGCCAGGTTTGCCCATAACATTCTAGGAACCAACGCATGTCCTTTTGCTTTTTCTTAAGTATTTTTTTTAAGCTAAAGTTAGAAAATCATTTTTTGATATATTGCCATCTATATTTCTCCGTTTCCCTTTTTTTTATAAGGATTCTTGATGATTTGTAGATCATATTTTTAGTAACGCAATATGCACAGAAGATGTTGTTTTTTAACGCTTCCACTTTAGTAAATTTTCTATTCATATTTATTAATTGATATTGTTATATCAATTGATGGCAAATATCATCTTCACGAAATTTTAAATTAAATTTTATGTTTAGGTTTTTATTCTGATAAAATTACAATTTCTTGGTCTAAATTTAATTCAAAGCTTTGTGTTTCCAGATGTTAACATTTTTCAAAATGTCACGTCAGACAGGCATTTAATATCGGGGGAAACGATCCATTAACATATCACTGATTGAACGCGATAGAACAGGGATAAAAAAGGCCGTGGGCTAAAACCATATAAGTACCCTACTGCTGTGTTAAAATGAAATAGCGACACAAATTTTTATTTTTCCCTCTCATTAAAGAGACGAAAAATATTTCACGGTATTGATTTTATACTTCTTAAAAACATAAAAAAAAAACAAAATCTAATACATTTTTCATAATTTTATTTTAGAAGAACCAATTTCAATAATTCCTGGAATGGGTCCGGAAGATAAAGTTGAAATAACATCAATTCTAACGGACGAAAATCAAGCCATTCCTGGTTTGGATTTGGACGGAGTAGTCAACGAAGAGAAAGCTAAACCCAAAAAAGTGCCTTTCAGTAAGCCCATACCTCGTAATTTCCAAGCTCAATGGAATGAAACAAGTGGTAAAAGAAATATATTTATACTATTATGTTACTACAAATATTTGTTGCATTTTCCATCGGAATATTCACGAGTATTCATATACCTAAACAAAGTACTAGAAAATGAAAAATATAATGGCAAGCATTTTTATATGTAACGAATTGATGAGTAATATACAGTGCTTTTCAGATAAAACTATCCACCTTAACTAACTTTTGAACTTCTACTTTTTAGGAAAAGCGCAACAACACGTCAATTACTATTTGAAAGGGGAGATTTCTTCTTCTTCTTCTAATGGCGCTACAACCCTTTGTGAGTCTTGGCCTGCTTAACAATGTTCTTAAATTCTGCCCTGTCGAATACTTTCCATCGCCACTGCCTGATGTTCATGGTTTTAAGATCCCTCTCTACGTCGTCTATCCATCTTTTACGGGGCCTTCCTCTTGTTCTGTTTCCTTCGGGTTTCCATCTATGGACTACTTTTACAGCTCGATTATCTGGCATTCTTTCTAGGTGACCAAGCCAGTTTAGTCTTTGTGACTTTACAAATCTAACAATATCTGCGCTCTGCATTAGTTCATCCAGCTCGTGGTTCATTTTAATTCTCCACGAACCATCGCTGCATTGGGTTGGTCAAAATATCTTCCTTGCGCTCAAATATTCTCAGTTGATTTTCATCAGTGGTTGGGAGGGTCCACGTTTCACATCCATATGTGACGACTGGTCTAATTACTGTTTTGTAGATTCTAAGCTTAGATTCAGTAACTTACTTTTTGTAAGTCTTTGTATGCATAAAAGCACCTATTACCGCTAAGAATCCGTGCTTGTATTTCTTGACTGATGTTGTTGTTGTCATTTATTATTGAGCCTAGGTAGGGAAAAGTGGAGGGATATTTGTAGGATGATTGTCTACCTTCAGATTCTCATGTTGATTCGATTTTGTGCACTCCATATATTTTGTTTTGCTTTCATTTATATATAGATCAAACGTAGCAGCTTCTCGTTTCAGTTCTATAACTGTTTCGCTTAATATTCTTTTGTTGCGGCTTATTATGGCAACATCATCCGCATATTTGCATTGATCTTGTATTAATATACCCATTTATATCCAGTTTTCTAACAACAGTTTCTAAAGTTAGATTAAAAAGTGTTGTTGATAAGGCATCACCTTGTCGTAACTCCATTTTCAATATCAAAGGCTGCGTCATATCTCCATCTATTCTCACCATAGATTTGAAACCCTCCAGAGGCATTCGTACAAGTTTAACCAACTTAGTGGGTATCCCTAACATAGATAGTTGCTTTAACTTTTTTTGTCGATCTACTCCATCAAACGCCTGTTTGAAATTGATATACAAGTTGTAAATAGGTATGTTATATTCAACTCATTTTTCATGTATACCTCTTAACATATGTATTTGGTCTATAGTTGACCTCTTTGGTCTGAAGCTACATTGGTATTCACCAATCATTTCAGGCGGCTACTTATATATGTTCCTTATAATATCTTGTAGACGACATTTAAAACTGTTATGCCCTTATAATTTTTGCAGAGTCGTTAGTCTCCCCCTTTGTACATAGGAAGTATGATTCCTACTTTCCAATCTCCTGGGATGACTTCTAGTGTCTATATATGGTCGATTAGTTTATGGATACGTCTCCATTGCTCATGTCCACCATTCTTTATCAGTTCTGAAGTTATTTCATCTGTGCCAGGTGCTTTGTTAATTTTTAGATTTTTTATGACGTTTATCGTTTCTTTCAATGTTGGTTGCTCAACTAGTTGTTCCATTGTGTGGTGCATTATTTCTTCATCTTCGTTTTGTTCTTTTTCTGGGTTAAACAGCTCTTGAAAATGCTCCTTCCACCTTTTCATTATTTCCTCTTTCTAGCTTATAATTGCCCCATTTTTATCCTTGCAAACTGTTGATCTTGTCATGTATCCTTGGATATATTGCTTGGTTTCCTTGTAAAATTTTCTAGTCTCCCTTCTCTTATTATAATCTGTAATTTGTTGGATTTTTTTATTCAACATTTCTCTCTTGTTCCTTCTACATATTTTCTTTGCATCTTTTCTGAGTTCTTCATATGCCCTTCTATTCAATCGGGAATCCATCTGTAGACATTTCTGTCTAGCTATATTTTTGCTATTTATTACTTGTTGGCAATCTTGGTCAAACCATTCCTCGTTTCTTTTGCTTGAGGTGTCACCTAATGTTTCCCTTGCCATATTTGTAATTGTCGTTTGGATGACATTACATTCTTCTTCAATGTTGTTTTGTTCTCCTCTTTCATTTAAGGGGAGACAATATGTCATATTTAAGCTTCCTGGGAAAGGCACCCTCTCACCCCCCATATCATCCCTTATTTGTTTTAATTACTTCCACCTTTTTTTATTTGATATTTGGATTCTCCTCTTTGTACTGATTTCAAAAATGTATAACACATGATGCTTAAAGTGATTAGTTTTTGAGAAAATAAATACAAAATCAAGAAAACTGGATTGAAAAAAAATTATTTTTTTAACAATTTTAGAACATTTAGAATGAACATTTCACTACCAAAAATGTTTACAATAATTGTTCAAAATGACTGCCATTCACTTTCATACAATAGTAGAATCTATTTTAAAATTCTTCTCTGACATTGGTTACCACGTCTGAATTTAATGGTCGACATTCATCCTCTAATCTTTGTTGTAAATCATCCAGAGATTCTGGTAAGAAGTCTAGGAGTGTTAAATCCGGTGACTTAGGTGGCCAATCCATTACGTGTCCTCTTCTACCTATCCAACGAGTGGAAGAAGTTTCGTTTAAAAATTGTCGCACAGGTAAAGCAAAGTGTAGATGAGCTTCATTATGTTGAAATACAACCAAATCTTCGGAAAGATTATTATCATTTTCTACTATTTTTCTAATACGATCAACCACTTGCCTAAGTAACTCAAAATATGATGCATTATTTCGAGGAAGAATTAAACAGGATGCACTGGAAGCCCTGTTATCAAGTTCATGCTAATTTCATGTCTTCTTCTTCTTAGCCTTCTGTCGTCCATGTTTGGACATAGGCCTCTCCCAACTCCTTCCATCGGTCTCTATCCTGAGCAACATATTTCCAATTTGTTCCGGCTATTCTTCTAATGTCATCAACCCATCTCATCTGTGGTCTTCCTCTTGGTCGTTTACTTTCGTAAGGTCTCCAATGTTGTATTGTAGTATTCCAACGTTAGTCTTTCTGTCTAGCAGTGTGGCCCGCGAAGCTCCATTTAAGTTTTGCAATTTTTATTATGTCCTCGACTTTTGTTTTGGATCTTACCCAGTCGTTCCTCTTTTTATCTGACAGTCGTATACCTAACATTGCTCTTTCCATTGTTCTTTCTTTTGTGGCTAGTTTATTCATGTTTGCCTTGGTTAGGGTCCAGGTTTGACATCCATATGTCATGATAGGATTGGATGGCATTGGTTGAACACTTTCCTTCTCAAGTATTGGGGTATTTTGCGGTTCTTAAATATCCAACTAAGTTTTCCAAATCCTGCCTATGCTAGTCTTGCTCTTCTAGTAATTTCCGCACTTTGGTTCTCTTTGTCAAGTCTCAGGATTTGGCCTAGATGTATATATTCCTGGATTTGTTCTATCTCACTGCCGTTTATAGTTATATGTCTGGGGTCTTCTGTGTTTGTCATTATTTTTGTTTTTTTCTTATTCATTTTTAGGCCGACGTATTGCTAGCTGGCTGCTAGTTCCCCCAACATAATTTGCAGTTCCTCGAATGTGCTCGCTATAATCACTAGGTCGTCAGCGAATCTGAGGTGGTTTAACTTGTTGCCATTAACGTTAATGCCATAGGTTGACCAATTTGTAGTTTTGAAGACGTCTTCTAGGGCTAGGTTGAAAAGCTTTGGCGATATTACGTCTCCTTGTCTCACTCCTCTCTTAATGGGGATGGGATTTGTATTTTCTTCTAGTTGTACTATCATAGTTGCATTTTCATTTATATATTATGTATTAGTATATTATGTATTAGTTGCCTATATCTCGAGTCTATTCTACAATTATTAATAGCTTGTTCTATGGCCCACATCTCGATACTATCAAACACCCTTTTCATACTCGACGAAGGCAAGAAATACGGGTAGTTGGTATTCATTTGCCTTCTCTATCAATGTTCTCATTGCCAGCAGATGGTCTGATGTACTATATCCTTTGCGGAAGCCAGCCTGTTCAACCGGTTGGTAATTATCCCTTTTGTAGGTTATATATATATATATATATATATATATATATATATATATATATATATATATCCGGTTTTTTAGGCGTTACGCCTGTCCGGTAGGGATCTATGGAGGAGTATCACCGAGCCGCAAGCCCTTATCTCTTGCCGTACTGCTCCACCATAGGCCGATCAGATCCCAGCATATCCTAGTCTAAGCCGCAGATTCATCTAGAATTTTAAACTGCTGCGTTAGACTTTTTGTTTTCTGTACACCGAGCTTGGGCTCGATCCCACATCCACTAAACCATTCGACAGTGAAGCGAATGAGAGGCAGACGCACAGCCCGCTGAGCTATCTGACCGACCTTTTGTAGGTTAACCGGTTATTAATAATTCTCATAAATAGTTTGTATACTTGACTGAGCAACGATATAGGTCTATAATTCTGTAGATCACATTTGTCCCCTTTTTTGTGTAAGAGTATTACTAGACTCTCGTTCCAGATCTATTAAATAGCTCTGTTAGTACAGGGATTGTTAATGTCTTGCTTGTTTTCAAGAGCTCGGCAATTATACCGTCGTGTCCTGGAGCTATATTATTTTTTAGTTCTTTTAAAGCTCTTTCTATTTCGTATCCCTTTATATTTGGTAGTACTTCTAATCCCACGTTTTTTATTTTTCTTTTGACATTCTCCTTTGTTGTTTCATTAGGCTGGCCTTGCGAGCTGTATAAGGATGTGTAGAAGTCTTCGACAATATTTTGTTATTTTATATTTGTCCTTCTCTACCTTATTGTTAGCGTCTTTAATTTTGATGATTTTTTGAATTCCCAGTGCGGGTCTTAGACATTTTAAGCCTCTGTTGTTTTCAATGACTCGCTCTATTAAGTTCTCGTTCCATTTTTGTATGTCGCGTTTTAGTTCTTTCATTTCATTCATTCATTCAATTTCATGTCGATACATGTAAAGGAATAACGTAGTCTGCACGAATGGAGCAAAGCCAGTGACAATCTTTTCAAGTCTAAACCTTTTCGACTAAAGTCTACATCTAGAATATGTTCTTTGCATATTATTCTGACTTTCAAGTGTTGGCTAGCGTCGTGTCAACAAGTTGCTGAAAGACTTCTCGGTCGATAGCTACATGAAATAATTCCTCGACTGTTCGATCTGTTCAAGGTCTAATGTTACGCAGCCAGGACAATTGTTTTCATCCGACTCAGCGCTTTCCTTCTATTTTTCCCAAAATGAATAACCGCAGGAAACGATATCACCCTTATCATATGACCAAAATATTGGATCTTTCTCATTTAATGGTGTTGATCGTAAGGGTAGAATTAACAAAAACGATATTTCAGATACCTAATCTAGGATACCAAACGTACTGTGTAGGTACTCTAAGATACCACACGATCCTTTGAAATTTACAATTTATAATGATAACTAGAGGATACCATTAGATCATATTTCATAACTGTGCAATCTACAATTTACGATGATAACGAGAGGATACAATTTGATGACATTTCGGGTGTGTGCAGTGTTAAATTACAGATTATTTATTTACATATTGACTTTTGATAAGTAAGATACTATAATATATTATTTTTAATGCTTATTTTATTTTAGATGATACTACTGGAGCTCTTAATGAAGTAATCACACAACTTGTGGTTGAAAATACTCCAGGAGCGGTTCCATTGAACAATATTGCACCAAATGCTCTTTATATTTATGATAAAGTAATACCAGTAGAACGTAAGTACTTAGTAGAAAAATTTATAGTAAGCATAGTATAGAATATGTAGCAAAATTATTTAGATAAAATTATTACAATGCAAATACGAATAATTTGTTTAAATATTACTTTATGTAGCAATATTCACATTTTAGTAGTATTGTTTCTTAATTAGATTAAATCAATAAAACATCTAACAGGCCTTATGTTTCTATTTAAAAAACCATAAGTTTCAAATCGTTTTCGGAAAATATCATCCAGGGAACAATCCTTCCATGGATCCAAACTATGTGCTTTTTTCCGAAAAATATTTTCGTGAATCGAAGGAATACGTCATAGACCGACCATTCTTTGCTTTAGTTGAATTTGCTTCACGTTTACATGAATTATTCCCCTGAGTTATAGTCGGCTCTAAGAAAGTTGATACTTTATATATCGTTAAAACATTGTCTATCATCTATAGACATATATATATATATATATATATATATATATATATATATATATATATATATATATATATATATATATATATATATATATATATATATATATATATATATTTCTTGACGACGTTTTGGCAAGTTCACATTTGCCATTTTCAAGTCAGATTAATTCTGCTTTTTCGTTATGTTCGAGTAGAATCGATTTCTAGGTCGCTGTACGTTCTGCTTTTGAGCGTAAAAGATTAAGAAAGTTATTTGGACATTGTAATGATGGTTCGTGGAGAATAAAAACGAATGTTCTCTTCTTTTTCTGGATCTCTAACTTTGTTCCGATTCTGTGTCTTTTCAATGGTAGACTAGGAGATATTTTTTCCTTAAAGATGTTTTGTCTTTGTACATTTCTTCGTTCTTGTGGGTCTCATATGTCAGTTTTTCAGATCTTGTGTACCGAATTTAATTATGAAGGATGGTGGTGAGAATCTGCGTGTAAATATGTCATTATAGATTTATTTTAGGTACACTGTATATCCTATGCTTTCGTCTTCCTTCTTTATCACCAACACATCTAAGAATGGAAGTGGTTCATGATTCTCCCGTTCCATGGTAAACTGTATTTTGTGTTGGATTTGTTGATATGTTGCAGGAATGTATTGAGTTTTTCTTCTCCATGTGTCTAGATTATAAATGTTTAAATGTAATTAATTCAAATCCATCGGTGCTCCTCCAACTTGTTTGTACCTCTGATCCTTGTAGATGACCAGACATGTCTTCCAGACAAAAATTGTTATTTTCAAACACTCCACGATATTTGAATTTTCTATGATTATGGGTTGAAGTAATTTATTATTGATCACAGTGAAGCACCTATTTTAAGTACGATAATTTTTTTTACATTGACAGTTGATATTCAATGATTAAATTTGTCCTTGTCAATACACTGGAGTCATGATTTATTTGAATACAGGAAATTAGACTTTCTTATCTATGTCATCTTTCGACCTATTCATTGTTAAAACCTTCATTGTACATATTTCGATACCATTTCAGTTTCCAAAGCGACCAAATGTATCCAATTTATGTACAACAAACCACAAGTCAAAATTTGCTTATTTTAATTGTCATTACAGTGAATATTTTATATTTATAAACAAAGCTTGAAAGTTTTCTATTTTGTCCTCTAATTTCTTATTTCGATATTTCTTTCATAACAAAGCTTTTAATATATTAGTCTTAATAAGTATATTAAATTTTTATTTTATTGAATTACTATATTATTTTTTATTTTAGCTGGTTCAAAATTACAACAAGCGATAGCCAGTGGTCTAGATGCTCTCAATAAACTTATAGCGTCAGGAGAAGTAGAGGAGTTATATGATGTAATGCCTATTAACGACGATGATGACGGGGAAGATCTAAACAAAGCCGACAGCGACATGCGCGATAGAAAAGACGTAGATTTCAGAAACGATAAAAGTTTCAAAGGAACTCGAGCTTCTGATTCCAACGATTTCGACACGAGACGGTCACTCGGCGATGAAGATTTAAGGTTTAGAGACCGCGACGAAGACTTTAGGTTTCGAAAGGAGGATGACGATTTTCGAAAAGGGTCCATGCATGAGGAGAAATATAGACGCGATGGTGATTACAGACGTGACGACAATTACAGACGGAATGACTACAGGCGCGAGGACGACCATAGACGTAAAGACGATTATAGGCGCGATGATGATTACTTTGAAGATAGTCCAGGAAAATCAGGTTAGTATACAATTATCATCACCCTGGAAGGGTCTTGGCTGACTACAACTTTTTTTCAATTTGTTCAGTCTTCCATCAACCTAGGGTCAAATGGAATGTTCATTTTCCGGAAATCTGCTTGGATGTTATCTCTTAATCGCATTCGGGGACGTCCGAGTGGTCTTTTGCCTGTGGGAATCTCCTCCCATACCAGTTTTACAAGTCTCTCGTTATGCAGTCTGTGCACGTGGCCTGCCCATCTTAGTCTCTGTGATTTAATTTCTTGGGCAATATCGGAGTCATTGTAAAGTGCATTTCATTCGATATTGGTTCTGATCTTATACTGGTTTGTGGTCCGAAATTTTTATGTAGTATTTGAAGTACAAAAAAAGTAATTTTCGTTCAAAGCGTCTGAGCTTTTCTTCGTTTGCTTTGGTCATGGTCCACGTTTCGCATCCGTATGTTATTACAGGTCTGACGATGGATTTATAGATTTTAATCTTTGAACCTCTTGTAAGATTTTTTGATTTTATGAGCTTATCCAGTGCGAATAGACAGCGGTTTGCAGATTGGGTTCTGTATTTTATTTCTTTAGTAACATCGTTGTCCGCTTTGATTGTGGCCCCAGATACCTAAAACTTTGTACTCTTTCGAAATTGAAGGTGTTGACCGTCACATTGTGTCCTATTCTGTCTCTTCTATTCACATTCTATTTATTTCATATATTTATACACATATATTTCGTCTTCTCTTTATTAATATTCAGCCCTACTTCACTTGTTGCTCCTACCACCTTGTTGAAGATGTCTTTCGTGGATAGGATGGAGTCCTTTTGTGGTTATGCGAGTAACAGCTTGGGACCTTGAACCGATAGCAATTCTGTTTTTATTTTACATTTTACAATACCTCATGGCTTTCTCTAATACAAGGTTAAAAAGTAGTGGAGATAACGCATCACCCTGTCTGAGTCCACTGTTGATTTCAAAGCTACCAGACAGATTATTATTTACACGTACTTTAGATATTCCACCCTCCATACAGACTTTGGTCATCCGAATGAAATCTTTGGCTTCTTTCTACGCTATCATATGCCTGTCGAAAGTCTATTAAAAGATTGTGTATGGGTGTGTTATACTCCCATCCCTTTTCTAGAAGTTGTCTCAGCGTGAATAGTTTATCTATTGTTGATCTGTTTGCCCTAAAACCGGGTTGATATTCGCCGAGGACATTTTCAGCATAAGGGATTAGTCTACTAAGAATGATGTTTGAGAGGGTTTTATATGCCGTGTTGGGTTTTATCCCCTTTTTTGCGGATGGGCACTATTGTTTTCCTTCCATCGTGCTGGTATGCTTTCTTCTAACCATATGTGCATTATTAGCTGTTTGGTGATGTAGTGCATCTCCCCCATATTTCAGAAGTTGTGATGGTATCTCGTCCGTACTCGGCGCTTGTGATTTTTCAGCTTATTTAAGGCCTTTTGGGTTTCTTCAAAGGAGGGATTTTTGATGGGCATGTCCGCTGTGATATAGATCTCTTCTTTGTGCTGTTCCTCCTGTATCATGTTTAGAAGGTCCCTAAAATACTCTCTCCATTCTTCAGTTACTTCTTTACTGTCGATTATCATACGGCCTTGATTGTCTCTCAGTGTATGGATTTATTTAGCGTGCAGATCTTGTTTCAGAAATGTAAAGATGTCAGCTGTAATGTTTTTGCATGCCTGATTGACTACAAGAAGGCTTTCGATAGAGTCAGGCATGAACAAATGATGGAACTGCTGAAGAGAACAGGGATTGATGGAAGAGACTTAAAAATTATAGCTAATCTTTATTGGAATCAATCAGTGGTACTCCGAATAGATGGAGAATATACAGATGAGGTCAAAATCTTAAGGGGAGTGAGACAGGGGTGCATAATTTCACCACTGATATTCAATCTGTACTCGGAGCACATTTTTGAAGAAGCCCTAAAAGATATTGATGAAGGCATCTCAATAAATGGAGTCAAGCTCAATAACCTGCGGTATGCAGATGATACAATAGTATTTTCCAATACATAGAAGGGCTGCAAAACTTAATGAACAGAATAACGGAAACAAGTAGAACATATGGACTTAATATAAACACCAGCAAAACCAAGCTAATGATCATCAGCAAGCAAAACATAACTGGAGCAAATCTGTATGTGAACGAAATGAGAATTGAACGTGTCTCACAATACAATTACTTGGGAACTATAATCAATGAGTCGTGGGACAATACCGAAGAGATTAAATGTCGCATCGGAAAGGCCAAAAGTGCATTCTTGACTATGAGCTCTGTGTTCAAAAGCCATGACCTCACCCTGAAAACAAAAATAAGGCTCCTTAAATGTTACATGTACTCAGTGCTTCTGTATGGAGTAGAAACGTGGACATTGAAGGCGGAAACTATATCAAAACTTCAGGCTTGTGAATTATGGTTATACAGAAGAATCCTGAAGATACCATGGACAGACAAAGTCACCAATGACGAAGTACTGCGGAGGATGAACACACAACCGCAGATTTGGTCAACATTGTAAAGAGCCGTAAGTTGGAGTACTTGGGACATATAATGAGAAATCAAGGCAGATACGAACCACTCCAATGCATTTTGCATGGTAAAATTGAAGAAAAAAGAGCCCCAGGACGAAGAAGAATATCCTGGCTTGCTAACCTGAGAGCATGGTATAGAAAGACCTCAACACAGCTATTTCGTATAGCGACCAATAAAATCATTATAGCCAGAATGATCGCCAACGTTCGGAACGGACAGGCACCCTAAGAAGAAGAAAAAGTATGGATGGAATTGGTTCTATGTCTCTTTTCTCAGAGGAAATTGCTTTATAGAATTCTCTGGATCCTGGTTTGGGCCGATCTCTCTCCATAGCTTCATATTTTTGTTGTTCGTAGTTTCTTTTCTTTGTGCATATTATCTTTCTTGTTTCTTTCCGGCAGTCGTCGTATTCCTTTTTACTTTGGTCTGTTTGTAATTGTATCCAAGTCTTCCTTACTGTTTGTCTTTTTTCCAGCTGTTTTGGACATTCCTCGTCATACCATGTTTTTGCTCTCTTCTGCCTACTCCTTTCAAAGATCTTGTTTGCTGTCTTGGTTATTATTTCGGCAGTCGTTTCCCATAGCTGTTCTATATCATTGTATTATCTTTCAGGGTTCAAAGTTTGTTCAAGTTGTTCTCTATAGTTTTGTTATTTCTCTGTATTGTGAATTCCGTTCACGTTCCATTATGGGCTTATTGATGTTTTATTGTATTTATGGCTAGATATTCTGGATATGACTTTTGCTCTGACTAAGTAATGATGTGTGTCTCCGTCTATTCCTCTCAGGCTCTTTACGTCTATAATATTGTTCCCATGACGGGCATCTACGATGATGTGGTCAATTTGGTTGCGCGTAATATGGTCGTTTGAGATCCAGGTTTGCTTATGGATGTCTTTATGCGGAAACATGGTTGACTTTATTAACATATTATTTGCTGCTGCAGTATCTATGAGTCTTAAGCCATTGTCGTTGGATATATTGTGGGGGCTGTGTTTACCTATTGTGGGGTATAGGCTAGGCTTTTTGCTTATTTAAGCATTAATTCCCCGCAGAGTATGCGCATATCTTGTTTGAGCATCGTATCTATCTCTCTTCTAGGGCATCATAGAAGTCATCCGTGATATCTTCATCCTTCTCTTCAGTTAGTGCATGCGCTGAGATAATCGAAATGTTGTATCGTTCTCCCTTATGGTTACAGGTTTGAAATTTGGTATATTCTGTACTAGGCTATCTCTAATCACAAAGCCCGTTCCAAATTCATTTCTTCCGTTTTTGTTACCGCTGAAGAATATGGTAAATTTACTTATTTTTATACTTCCATTGTCTGGCCATCTTATTTCTTAGACTGCTGATATATCCATTCCTATGTTTTCCAGTTGTTCCACAGCACTTATAGCAGCTCCAGGTCTGTACCAACTCTGGACATTCCAAGTTCCGATATTCATGTACCTTTTACAGTGCATTTGTCGTTTTTTGTGTTTATCTGTCCGGTTTCGAGGCAAAGTTGCAGTTTTTATAACTAGTTTCTTTTTCCGAGGGTGGATAGTGAACCCTCCACTCAACCCTCCTCTTTTATCCGGGCTTGGGACCGGCTGCAGTAAGGTGATTTCCGAGCTACTCATTCCACCCGTTCCTCACCCTACCCCAGGCAGAGTTAAGCATGTGAATGAGGTATACAATTATGCATATTAATAACTTCAGATATTTCTCAAATAAGTGTCAATATTTAGAGACATAATAAGAAATGTGGACATAATATGAAGTTAAAAATGTAACGTGGTGAATGCCAAAATGATGTCACAATTGAGCAGAACGTGTCGATAAAATAGGTCTAGGAAGGACGGCAAAATTGATAGAAATACGAAAATCTGAAAAGTACCACGAAGAGATGGTAGGAAAGATGATAATAAGCTTAACTGGTATTGCAGGTTAATCAGATTAAGTGATTTTATTGAATTACATTTATCCGTAATCAACACTATTTCTAAAATCTGTGCCTGAAAAGATTTATTATAATCATCTAATATATACATCAATTATTTTCAATTTTGATTTCTTTCATAACTTAACCTTTTTAAATTTTAGGGAACTGGTCAAGAAACGGTAAATTTGGAAACAGTTTCAGAGGTAATAGATCCGACAAACCTCCTTATAATTCTAGCTTTAGTGGAAAAGATTTTCGAAAGTTTGGGCCCACAGATAACCCAGATTGGGACGATACAGACCCTTTCGATGACAGAAGCCAGGAAAAATGGGATAATCGTAGCGATGATGACTGGAACGAAGATTGGGATCTCGATGACGATGATTTGGATATCGAAGACTTAATTGACGATGAAGATACTTGGTTGGATAGTCCGAGATTTAGCAGAGGCAGAGGTCGTAGGGATGACAGAGGAAGAGGTAGAGGAGGAAGAGCACGAGGTGGGCGAGGTAGAGGTGGTTTCAGCAGGGGAAGAGGTGATCGCGGAGGACGAAGAGGCAGCAGAGGAGGCGGAAGAAGAAGTGGAAACCGGGGAAGATATTCTTAGTAAATTAGATTATAGTGTTCGTACAACTGAATGTATATATCTTACTTTTCGCCTTGAGTTTTTTTGTTTTTAAATGAAATTCGAACATTTTTTAAAAACTTGATATAATTACGTCAAGTTTGAGGGTTATTTAATGATTTTTATTTAGTTTACTTTTAAAAACCTTGCTCTGAAGTACTTAAACATTTATGAGATTCATATGAAAAGGATAAAACTTAGTTTCATAGGTAGCAATTGATAATCTTCATAGTGGCACTGAATTTTATTAAACAAGTAGAGTATTTCGATATATAAAAAATGCACTGTGGAAATAATTTACAGCTCGATTATTGGACCTTTAAGTTTCATAGATATTTTTCAATAACACATCCCTACAGTTCTCCCCCGACTAAGATCATCATTTACTGCATGTATTTCCATTTATTTCCAATTTGGTCTCTACTGTGATTTTTAGGAGATGTAGGTTTTTGCGTCCTGTGTTTTGTAATAGTAGATATGTATTGGAGCTTTTAGGCCGTGATTTGAATCTTGTTTATTTTTCCAATTCATCTGCAACTGCGGCATATACTATCGTAAAGGCGAAGTGGAAGCGGTAGACACAGCTCCTGTCGTTCCCGTTACTCATTATTGAGCTTCAAGCAGTTTAATTAAACCCAGCCTGAAGGACTTATTCGCCCCTTGAAATGACGTTCGTGTCTAACAATTCATTGGAGCGAGGTGTATTAATTCGAGTTTAAACAGGAATCACTCCACCGCGCTCCAATGCTCCAAACTTTCCTTTTCCCCTGTAGCACTCTGATGCGCGGTAGATGCACAACTATCAGTCAAATACTCCTCATGTGGGAGTCCGGGGTAATAGAACTCCAACATGGTTCCCTAACCGAATTAAATGCAAGATATCGTTAGGAGCTTTGTTCCCGATATCCTCTTGTAACTTATCCGCGAATCTGAAATTGCTAACTCGGGCTTCAAGTCTCCGCTCTGGACCACGTCGAGTTCGGAGACTTGGTGCTCGAGGGTTTGCGCCTTACATACCCGAGTTTTTCGGTTTTTGTTAATTTTTTTTGTTGGCTTGCGACGGTTTTTGTTTTATTTTTATATATTTTTTGTGGGTGAAGCTGTTTCGATGTTTTTTGTATATATTTTTTTGTAGTATGTCATAAAAAAAAGTCTTATTAATGCGCCTACACAGTGGTTGTGATTGTCTACATTGATAGAGCTGCGTGCTATCCTTCTCTGGTTTTTCCTTTTCTCTGGGCTATATATTTATTTTAATCAACTATTTGTTGCTTTGGACGCTTGTGCTTCCATCGATGGAATGCATCATATCTCATTTTTGTAGTATGGGACTTTGCACGGGACGGGTGGTTCTCCAGCTCTGCAAATTTTATTTTTGCCCTTTCTGTCATCATATCGGCCACCTTGACTTGTTGCAGTTCTCTAAATAGAAAATGTTCAGCGAAGTATCTCGTATGTGAGTATCGGTAATATGATTCTATTTATTAAGCTCATCTTTGTTTTCGTTATTAGTTTGCTTCTTTTACCTGCGAATCCTCTTATTGGCGCCTTTGTCATCTTAGCTTTTTGTATTGTGGCATCTACGTATTGTTTGAAGATTAGTCCTTTGCCCATTATTACTCCCAGGTATTTAGCTTCGCTTTTTCATTCCATAGGATTATTTTGCACTGTCAATTGTTCGTCTGGCTGTTGATATATCTTTTTTGAAGGGCATTATATTGCTGTTTAATGTTTTCTAACGCTGTTTGCAGGTTGTTTGACCGCTATCGCCGTGTCGTCAACATAAAGGCTGACTAGAGTTCCAGGTGATCTTAGAATTTCGGCGGTGTATATTGTATATAGTAGTGGTGACAGGACTGCTCCCTGTGGTACTCCAGCCTCCGGGTTTCCGAGTTAAGACAAGACTTGTCGTATTCTAACTCTGAAGCTCCTATTGCCCAAGTATGAAGAAATCAGCCTCGTCATTGTCCCGCTGTATCCATAGACTCTCATTTTGTAAATTAGTCCTTCATGCCAGACTCTATCGAAGACTTTGTTTACTTCCAGAAAGTTTACTATGTAGTCCGTTAGTCTAAGTATTTCTATCTAGCTGAAATGTTCCGATCGGAATCCAAACTGTTCTTCTGGAATTATCCCTAACCTGTCTGTTTCTGCTTGGAGGATGACTCTTTCCACAATCTTACTGATTGCTGGAAGTAAGCTTATCGGCCTGTAGTTTTGCGGGAATTTGCTGTCTTTTCTTGGTTTTGGAATCATGTTCCATGATCCTTCCATCGATTTGGGAAGAGTCCATATCTTAGAATCGCATTTACTATGTTAGTTAGAAATACTCGCTTACTTACTTGCCGGTAAGTATTTCAGGTATTTCACCTATTTGTTATTTGATCTAGTCTTGGCGAATTGTTTTTAATTATTTTTATCTCCTCCGGTGATGTTTGAGGGATGATCTCGTTTGATTCCTCAGACCTTTTTTGTTGTTCTTCCACTCTTATATAAAGTCTATATCTTTATCTGGGTGATAATTTATTGTGCACTCTCTCTAGAGGGTCATCCTCATCATCTCGGTTTTTTCTTCAATGGAGTAGATAATTCCATTCTCTCCGTGTATTGGGGATTAGTTTTGTCATTTCTTAATATTTTTGTAGCTTCCAAATATTTTGCATATTTGGACCTTCTTCCTCCATATCTTGGACATGGTTGTCCCAGTGGTTACGGTGTTCTTGTAGTGCCGTTTTGACTTCTCTATGTAGTTGGCTTGCTCTGTTTTTGTCCACCTGGTTTCTTGTCCTTCTGGCTCTTTGTTTGGCTCTGTTCTTTTCCCTTATCTCGTCCTTTATGGTCTGGTTTATGTCCCTAAACCTTCCCATATGTATTTCTGTTTCCTCTTTTGTAGTGCTGTTTCTGAGTGCTCCCTGTATGATGTTCTCCAACGCTAGGACTCTTTCCTCTATTTCTTGTGGGTTGTTTATGACCGGGACATTGTGTATTCCAGTGCTCACAAGTCTTTTGTAGTTGGTCCACTTTGTTTTCTTTCTTGTCCCTATTTCAGTGGTACTTTCCTCCGATGTTCCTAACTCCAGTAGAATGGGGTTGTGGTCTGCTGTTCCTCATTTAGTGTTTAATTTCTTTTTGTAGTCCTAGGTTGCTAGCAACTATTATATCGATACGGGTGGGAAGTCCATTTCCTGGGAAGTGTGTTGGTTCGATGGGTCCCATTGCCATGATGTTGTCGTTGTTATCAATGTAATTGTTTAGTAGTCTTCCGTTTCTCTTCGTTAGCTCTATCATTCCAAATTGTTGAGGATCTTGCATTTAAGTCTTTATTCGAATGGTTCGGCTATACTTAGGAACGCGTTGAGGTCGTCATCCTGATTTCTCCTTGCCTCATTTGCACTGTGATTGTTGTTGTTTTCATAGTAGTTAGTTGCGAGGTTAGGATTCTAGTATGGATTATACCTTTTCTTACTAGGATAGCTGTGCCTCCTGATCTTCATGTGTTGTTCCTGTAGATATTTATCAGTTCGTCCAAAATATTTTGGTTGGTTCTTATGCCGCCTGGTTAATGAGCTTTCTCGAGTATCTGCACTATTTTTAGCCGTTGGTTAGGTACTTTCGGAATTTGTCGGTTGGTGCAATCTATATTAGAATTTGTTGCGCGTTTGCAGAGCGGTTCTGTATTTCGCAGTGTTGAGAATCATATCCTGTTTAGGTGAAGACTAAGTCTTTAAGATTAAAATTAATCTGATGTTTTTAAATTTCTATTTACTCTCTGAACACCCGTAGATAGTAGTGTCATGTTGTACAAAGTGCATGTGGTTCTTGTAATAAAATTTGGTGCGATTTGGTGTTCTACAGAATATACCGTAACACAAAACAACACTACAGGTGTTTATTACAATACTATCTACGAATGTTCATCGAAATTTAAAAACACATCCGAAAATATTTATTGTCATTTGACTGCCTTCTTTATAGCATAGTTCTTGTTTCAGGAAAAACAAACTAGTTTTCCTGAAATAACTTTATTTTTGTCAGTTTTTGTTGTATGCCGTATTTCTTAGTACATATAAGGATCTTTAGTACGCCTGAGAATGCCTAGTTTGAGTTTTGGTAACTTCTTATATTTGTTAGGAGTGATCTACGTGTCTTGCATATTTGTATACCATAATTTATAGAAAGGGAGATACCATAATTCTAGCGTGAATTTGATTTTATTGTGGATTCAGTATAAGTGTTTCTGAAATTTTATAATTTTACATACGTGGAGACATATTCTACATAATCCGTCAGGTAGAGTTCGCCCACTAACGGAGATATAATTGCTTTATAACTCATTAAATGTTTGAGTCAGTTACATCAGAAACTAAAATTCGCCTATATTGTGATAAAGTTTATTAACATTTCCACTTATAAGTTCAATTATTTTTTCTTTTTAGTCATTATCAACTGAAATATTACTTATAAACTAAATTTTTTTAGTACTGATTGTATTTTGTTTTCATAAATATAATTTAAATAAATAAAGTTTTTTATTACACTTATATTTTTCCGGATTATTGTATTAAGACAATACAATTACCTAAATTAATTACAATTTTGTATATTTTTGCTCATTTTTTGCTTGCAACAGTTTTAAATATTTCGTAAGTTTTTATTTTTATTTTATTTACTTTATTGCTTTTAAGAGCGTAGGCGCAAAATTTCGGGCCAATACTTTTTAAATGCAATAATTTTTTTCGAATCCTGACAAAACTAATAAGTATTTTTGAAAAATTTAAACGCAGAATGAAAGATTATATTATTACTGAGGACCGAAAGTCCCTGAAAACTTCTATAATGTTTATTTTAGTAAGTTAGAGGGGTGAAAAAGAAGAGAAAATTAAGTGTGATTTTTATTCAAAAGAAACTTTTTGTTTATTCTAAGGGACTTTTGGCCCTCGGTAATAATGTATTCTTTCATTCTGCGTTTAAATTTTTAAAAAATATTTAATAGTTTTCTCAATATTTGAAAAAAATAAATGCATTTAAAAAGCATTGGCCCGAAATTTTGCGCCTACGCTCTTAATAACAGTTACATAGCAAGAGTAGTACAATTAATTACAAATCATACAAATATTGTAAATAAAAAAAAATAATGAACAAAACTATATAATAACAATATTTACACTCCAGAATAAAGTACCTATATTATTCGTTGATAATAAATGCCGTGAGTTTAAGCACATTCAAGATAAAATTAAAAATTGCTGTAGCGGAATCAAGTTTTGAATTGTCAAGAGAAAGAATAAAATTATTTAAACTAGATAAACAAACAGTCCTTATTTTCAGGTTTTATTGATGCATAAATTGAACAATTAAATAAAACATATTCGATTGTCTCAAATTCTTTACTATTACAAATAGTGCAAATTTCATTTGGACTGATGCCGTGAGTGGCTCCACTAAGAGAAGTTTCAATTTGTGGTTATTGCAAACTCTTAACCGAGCTATTATTCGGGATATATGGATTAGAAAACTTAAGAGAAGATAGCTTTTGACATAAAGAAGAACGGCAAAATTTTTGTAAAAAGTTGAAAAGAAGGATATTTGCATTAAAGTGCAATCGACTTTGTTTTTGTTTAATTTTTACTAAGAGTGATGTTTTTGCTTTATTTAGGGAAGAATAGCTTAGTGTATCCCAAGTTAACAAATAAGTTTTTAATTTGTAGGCCCAATTATCTTTTTCTGGGAGATTAATAAGCGCATATTGACGTAGAAAACAAATCTTGAGAAGTGGATTATTAATTTTTAGAATTTTCAGTAACCAGTTTAAGCACTATTTAAATACATTGTACGCAATTTTAATACGGCCAGTTCCTATTCAAACAACGTAGTCTGGTGTGTTCAAAGGTAGAAAAGTTCTAGAAAAGTAAAATTCTTTTAAAAAACTGGATTTGGATTTTTAGCACAATGTCATAATACTGGAGTCCTTAAAATGGTATGCAATTAGCCAATGGCGCTACAGCCCAAATCGAGCCTTGGCCTCCTTTTCTTCTTCACCTCACTTTTCACTCTTCTTCACTCCATCCTCCCACCTTTTCCGTGCCCTTCTTTTTGGTCTTGCGTCCTGTATTTTACTATCTAGAGCTCTTTTTGGCAATTTTCTTGTCTCCATTCTCACTACATAACCAGCCCATCGAAGTCTCTAAAGTTTAACGAATTCTGAAATCGATGCCACTTTGAATAGTTGGTAGAGTTCATGGTTGTACCTGGATCTCCTGTCTTTTTGTAGACGTTGATCTTTTTCTCACGAAGCAAGGTATAGAATTAAAAAAAACTTTTATGCTCAACAGAATGTTTGGGCTTAAAAAATAATCTCCACCTTCACCTTCGAAAGTGTTTTGTTTTAATCTTGACCTCTTCGTCTCTTCGGGCTCTGCTTCTATTAAGAACTGGTAAAAGGTCTTGTTCATTTTTGTTTGAAAAGTTTCACACTCTGCATAACATTTTAACTTAGTCCTCTTCACATAACTTCTCGAAACATCTCAATCTGCACCTGCAACATTCGAAATGGGTTACTATTGTGGAACTAAGCTAGTTTTTAAAATTGAATACTAATTTATCATCTTATTTCGTGACTAAAATAGTACATTGCACAATAAAACGAAAGTTACGAGCACGGTAATCCTGTGTTGTGTGATTCAACAACATTTTCTCTGTAATTTATATATTTTTCACCACGGCATATAGTTTTCTTAATTCGATTAACCTTATATTCTTCAGGATAACAAACACCTCTCTTTCGCTTCTTGTTATCTGCTTCTATTTCGACGACACTTGCACTCTGACATTATTTTAAAACATAGGTTAAATAACTTTAACAATAACTGAAGAACAATATTTTATTTTATTATTTTTTAACAGTTGAATTGTAGCATTTGCAGTTTCATTGATTCTTTGGTATATATTGGAATCCTCTCGCATATATAATTGAAATCCCGTCATATATGTATTAAAATAACGAAGATTTTTTTTGTTTCTTAATTCGTATCGTTCAAATTAAAAACCAAATAATATTTCGTTCTTTTCACGTCGCCAAGTCGATAATAAATCATTTTATTGTTTGTTTATGTCACAGTTCTTCGATATTCCTTTGATCGTTAAACCGCCCGAAACTGCGTTTTCAAATTAATAATTTACGTCTTAATTTTCGTTGTGTTTTGTTTATTTCAAGTGTTTTGTTTATTCTAACTGATGTGAATTAATTTTTAAGATAGTAATTTCATCACTTTCGTTGGAGCCGCAGTGGTCTTCAACGTTATGTCCAAATTTTTCGTCTAATTTGAAATGCTTCTTTGTTTTTCGTCTTACATTATGAAAGATTAGTAGTTTTGCAGTTAATTGTGCAGTACGTGTTACGTTACGTGCAGTTGTTCCAGTTTTGTAAAAATATGCAGCTGATTTGTTTATTCCTTACCTGTTTGTTCCCGACTGATCAATGTTCCAGATCATTGAAGCAGTTTTTTGTTCGTGTTCGGATATTTCCCAAAGAAATTTAAATAGATCCAGTTCCCGACCCCAGGCATTATGCACAGTGAAATTTAGGAAAATTTAAGGTAACTTTTGTGTTTAAATTTAAAGTAAAGACAGACATTTTTTAATTACTATTTTGCTTTCGTTTATAATTTGAGAATTTTTGATAATTAATATTGTAAATTTTAAGGTTTGACTTTAGCTGTCATTTAAATTTTTCTGTTTTAAATTTAATGGTAACATAAGACAGCTCGCTTTATTATTTTTGATTTTCATTTGTTTTGTTTAAAAAAAAAGTTAACCTATTATGCGGTAACATTTGTAAGTTTATGCAGTATCTCCAACTCCTGGAATTTTTAAATGGATGACATGTAAGTTTTTTTTTTGTATTTTTGTATTTTGATCACATCACTGTTGATGTGATATTTTTGCATTGTCTATTTTTTAACTGTTTGTGGTAAGACACAATAAATGTTGAATTTTGTTTTCTTAACATTTTGTTTATTCTTTTTTAAATAACTCTTTTTTAGTTTCCATTTGAAAAATATATGTTTTTTATATTTAATAAATATTTCGATAGTTACAACTAGCAGTTACAACCGATAGTTACAACCATTACAACTAGCAGTTGTAATGGTTATAATTAGGCACCTCGACGTGGCGTCCTTTTTAAATTACTAGACGTGTTTCCTGTTTCCTTTTGTTTTGTTTGTCCTAAAAGATTCATGACCCTTTGTTTCATTTTTTTGTAGTTGCCCCAATTCAACCCCTTTGTCATTTACTTATCCACCATCCCAGCTCTCCTAACAAACCCTGAGTGCCGTTCGCCTATGTTTCGATTATTTTGCTTGCCCTATCACCACCTCCATAGTTTATGTCCCCAATTTTCTACCCCTAATAGTAGTACCCCATGTGGTAGGCAAAATATTTTCGTTACAGAATATAACATAAAACAACAGTGAATATCTGGCAAACAATTAGCTGGTCGCGCAATGTTGCTAACAGTGCTTTTAATTATGAAAAGCCCCTTGTCAATGACATGAGGCTTTACATAAATAAACAATAATTTTAAACTAAAATATCTGGTAAAGCAATAAAAAGACACGAGGTTTTTCATTTTTTGAGTTAAACGAAAGTGACATGATGCCTTTCATAAATGAGCAATTCATGTGTAAACGAAGATAGTTCAATAGGACATCCATATCTGCCGTTGGTGTGCTCCTGTGATTCCATTCAAGCAAGTGTTTCCACCTTGGTTAGTTTGAATTTCTACTTTTTTGCTGCACTAATTGTTGGTTCTACCACCATGTTATAACTCCAATAAACATGTCTGGTTTTATACTCCACACTTTTCCTGTTTTCAGAGTGCGTCTGGCAGTTACCACTTGGTCTCTAGTTTATTAGTTTTATCTGATTCCAAGTAAGCCTAGAGTCTAAGATTACCCCAAGATACTTTACTTCACTCACCAGATTTAGGCTTTCTGATAAATTTCAAGATTTTGGACTCATAGAAGCTTATCCTATTGCACTATATCTCTGACTATACCATTAAATTTGTGGGCTAGGATGACCAGGTCATTCGCAGAGACAAGGACGTGATGCCCACCGTTGCTGCTATCAGCTGATTCATGACCAGATTCCACAAGAGGGGAAACAAGACCCCTTGCTCACAGCCTCTGGCTACTTGTGCTAACACTGTATCTCCTAGTAACGTTGCCTATATCACACGGCTCCTCAGCACGATCTACAGCAGCTTGTTTCATCTATTAGTTTTAGAAGAAAGCAAGTTCCAAGATGAAACCAGATGCAACCGGAAGTACTGTTTTAAAAACGCCGAAATAGTACAAGCGATATATTAGTCGAGGCACCTTGGCAAGTCAAGAACAAATATGTACCTCCGGTTCATGCCTGTCTGTCCGTGAACACAACTCGTCAATTTTTAGAACAGATAGAATGACAAATGAGGTGTCGAATGAAATATAACCCAAAGATTGTATTAAAGGTA